GTCTTTTCGTGACTTGCTCATTTCCCTTAGCGAGTATCTTCGAGGTTCATCCCCATTGTAGAATATGAAAGGATTTCCTTCTTTTTTAAGGCTGAATAATATCCCATCGTATGGATGGACCACATTTTGCTTATCCATTCATCAGTCAATGGACATTAAGGTTGTTTTCACCTGTTAAAGCAAGGGTCCCCAACCCCTGGACCATGGACCAGTACCAGTCCATGGCCTATTAGGAACTGGGCCGCACAGCAGGAGGTGAGCAGCAAGCAAGCAAGCAAAGCTGCATCTGTATCTGCAGCCGCTCCCCAGAGCTAGCATCACAGTCTCAGCTCTGCCTCAGATCATCAGGTATTAGAGTCTTACAGGAGCACTGGTCCCTGGTGCCAAAAAGGTTGGGGACCGCAAAGAACAAAATTCAACCAAGTAAGGGGTTGTACAAAATCGAAAGTTTTTATAGGAAGAAGGGAGAGGCAAGGGAGCTATCAACAAAAGAGAGGGTTATTTTAGACCAGGACTTCTTCAGGGGGGACAGGGAACTGCAAGGGTATTTATCATGCAGATGGCCTTTCCAGGGAAATGGACAGGGCCCTCTTGACAGACTACCTCATTGGTGTCGACGAGACAATTCCAGACTGGTTGATTGATTAAGATTACGTTTCTGGGAGAGGTTGAAATGGCAATTAGGTCAGGATTTAAATCTATATTTGGTATCATGGACTTTAGCACAAGTGACACCATTTTGGGCCTGTGGTTCTCCTTTTAACACACCGTTTAGCTGTTGTGAATAATGTTGCTATGAACATGGGCATTCAAATATCTGTACGAAACCCTGCTTTCAATTCTTTTGGATATATACCTAAGAATGGGATGGCCGGATCATACGTTAGTTCTGTTTAAGTTTTTGAGGACCTGTCATGCTCTTTCTCACATTGGCTACACTATTTTCCAGTCACTAACAGAGCACGAGGGCTCCAATTTCTCTGCATCCTCACCAAGACTTGTTATTTTCTCTTTTGGGTAGAAGCCACCTTAATGGGTACGGTTTCTCCACTTTTCAAATATAGAGTCTGAGTCTTGTAGACAGTAAATAACTTGCCCAAGGCCATGCAGCCAATTCATATTATCAATTCAGCTGTGACCTATCAAAGGCTCCACCCAATGCCTGCTGCCACCAAGGAGGCCTGGTAGGCATTGTCAAGGGGCCAGCCGGAAGCACACGCAAGGACTTGATGGAGCCACAGCCCATCGCTCCCTGAGGCTATCGTAAAGCCCCAGTGGCACCCCATGCCACTGTGGAACCCAGGGCCCAACCCACCCCAGCCTGCACGCTGGCCAGCCAGGAGCCCCACCCTGAGGGGTACACTGACCCAATGCTACCCCCAGGCGCTGCCAAACCCCCAGCAGCCTCAGGAGCTCCCTCAAGCCCTGGCTTACCAGGGTCTCTAGCACCCTGTACCCAACCCCTCTCTGTGTGGAGGCCTGAAGGCCCTGCTCAGCAGAGAGTCAAGATTCAGACTGAGCATTCCCTGAGGGGCTGGATGCTGAGACCCAGCTCTGGCTTTTGTCAGGCCCATTTCTGGCCAAGGGGGTGGGGAGTGGGAGGTATGGCCTGAGGCCCAGAGGATAGGCTGCCTGACCTGAGACCAAAGGACTGGAGACCCTGTGGGCTCAGAAATGGCTAAAAACCCA